CCAGTGCGGAATTGTGTTGGTGGTGAGGGAGCCCAGCGCGGAATTGTGTTGGTGGTGAGGGAGCCCAGCGCGGAATTGTGTTGGTGGTGAGGGAGCCCAGCGCGGAATTGTGTTGGTGGTGAGGGAGCCCAGTGTGGACTTGAGTGAGCTCCTACTTACTTTTTCAGGCTGAGCACGGGACCTGGCATTAGAATGTGATTCTACAACTTCAGTGGCGGCAACGTCGGTGAGGTATGCCCATCAGTGAAAGATGGCGCCTGACGATCAGTGACTTCATCAATGGATGGGTCTGGTGCTAGCAGCAGCAAAGTGGTGGAGGAGAGACGGCAGCACAGGTATCATTGATGATGACGGACTCTGTTTAAGCAATATCTTGCTATTTTTTTTCCATTATCCTTCAACTAATCAAAATGGCACCAGATCATGGTGATATTGGAAAAGCTTTTCACTGTATTTTACCGGTTTTCTCACTCTAAAATAGACATGACAATAAAATCATCCATTCATTCAAAATTAGCGATCTCCTTGTTACTAACATATGTATTTGAAGTAGGAGTAGGCCATTCAGCCCCTTCAAGCCCACTCCACATTTGATAAGATACGGCTGATCTGATTGTCGTCTCAACTCCACATTCCCACCTGCCCCCAATACCCTTTGACTCCCTCATCAGTCAAGGATATATCTACCTCTGCATTAACAATATTCAATGACCCTGCCTCCAATGTATCACTCAGTAGAAAGAAACCATATCAAAACATTCAGATTTTACAGGGACATAGCAGGAACTGCAGATGCCGGATTCAGAGACAACACAATGTGGAGTTGGAAGAACACAGCAGGCCAGGCATCATCGGGGGAACAGGAAAGTTGATGTTTCAGAAATCTGAAGAAGGGTCCCAATCTGAAACGTCATCTATTAGACTTTACAAACTCTTATTGGAACATCCTTTAATCTTCTGGCGAAGAAAGGTTCCATAGTGTTGAGTTTTTCCTCAAAACTGTAATTTCTTTTTCCTGCTTTAGTCATGTAAGTTTTTTTCAGCACTTATCCTATGGCAGGAATACATTGCTTATTATTCAAGGATACCTATCATCCAGGCCTACGTACTCATCCTCTTAATTTCATTTCTCACACAGTTTCCTCTTTTACATTTTCTTCAAGGGGTTCTATAATTCTCTACACCACCCTTTTTGAACACCAAAGCAACTACATACGTTTACTGTCATCATTTGTCATGCTCAAATACAAGTTGGTACTAGCCATTTCCAATTGCTATCTCTGCTTGCTTGACTGACCATTTACATATGCTGGCAGTGAGGTAAAAAAGTTGGTTACGTATTGTGCTCTATCATTTGTAGACAGTGGTATTTTATGTTTCGCCTTCGAAAAATGTTTAGAACTTTGAAAGGTGGGGAATTGAAGGGAGTTCAGTCTATCACTGCAACTTGTTTATCAGTGATCTTCAACATTCTTACACCTCAAGAACTGTAACAGTTCAAGAAGGTAGATCACCACAAGCTTTTCCGTGGAACGACCAAGAAATGCTGACCAAGCCATTGACACCCACATCTCATGAGCAAATATAAATAAGATGGTGACAGTATCAAAATTCTCATTGCCTGATTGTTTTCTTCCAAATCCTACAAGTTGATACCTCCACAGCTGACTGTTCAGCTGAAATGTCTACAGTACCTTACTGAGAAGGGTAATATGCCACTCCAGAACTTCCTTCTAGAACATGCAGATGTAATAAATATCAGACTGGATCACCATGCTCATTACTGTTAAATCCTTAAGCATCATTGAAGAATCATTGACATGTAAGAACTGAATTGAACTCCTGTTATTTGTTATTTTCTTGTTTCCAGATACCGTGGCTATGTCCCTACTATAAATTTTACATATGGTGATACCTATGGAAATGCTACCAAGAAATATTTCCAAGATTTCCGCCTGTCAGCTCTGAATACAAGTCAGAGTCCTTACAGCAAAGGAGGGCAATTTCCAACAGTTTACTCCAACGACCCCACCCTTGTAATAGCAGATCGGTCCCACAACCGCAATAGATGGTTATATGCCCCAAAATGGTCCAGATATGATGTGGATTTTGACAGAAATGAAGAATTGAAAAAGTTTGATAAGGTAAGATCAAGTAAGCAGACAATCAGTTTTGATTTGAACAGAGGTGGTTGACATTTTGTATGGTTTCACACTGTCCTTTGGCCATACAAAGCAGATACTTCCTGATATTCCACAGCAAATTGTTGGGCTCACATTTGGAGGTTTTCGAATGGATAGTCTTTCTCTCCAGAAGTCAGAATGTTATCACAGGACTCAGCTCAGCCGTGGATAATAGAGTGTAAAATATCTTGTTTACAAAAGAGCTTTGGATCAGTGGTTCCTTGCCAACATTAGTCAGTTTTAAGTTCAAGGTCACAAACTCCGCAGGTGATACAGTTGGTGGCAGAAGAACCTTCTACAGTTTGTAATTCTGCCATGGTTGTTAGAGTGATGCCACATCATTGACCAAGAGACAACCTGACTATTTTCATTAACCAGTTACACATTTGTCAACCTTACATCAAGAGACAAACTGTTTAGAAAAATTAAAACTATTAGCATTAAAATTAGGTGTATTTTTTTTCAAACTGTCAACATAGACTGAAGGTCCATAAATCTCATGAGTGGCTTTTCACAAACACAAATATTATTATATCTTTATGAAAATGCTTTACAAAACAATTTTTTTAAAAGAGCATACACCCTGTTAGTAGTTGATCTTGTTGTTTCAATGCACAGAAAATCTTTTTTATCATCTTAGGGAGAGTTTTATCACCTTCAGCTTGTCTATCTGAAAGCATATTTTCTTAAATGAACACCTTTCTGTTCACTCCTAACCATTCTGCCATACAATACCATCAGCCTTAATTTGTTTAAAAAGTTCTTTCCAGAATAAACTTCCATTTTTACCACATACATGTACATCCCAATCTTTAGTTAATGCTTGATGTAAAAATAGTGTTTGTAGTTTCCTGTTTGTGTATCACTTGAAATCATTTAATGTGATTGGCTGATTAGGCAGTGTGATGGTATTTACTGCCATCAGTTACAATATCACTGCGCAGGGAGAGATGTGAAGCTTTCTGCAGATGGATCACTAGATCTCCTGAGCACAATGTACTTTATGTTCAGCAGCGAATACTTTATTGTTTGAACACAAAATCAGGGTATCGTATTGCTGAGCTTAAGTAACAAAGGAAAGATTAATTCTTACAATGCTGCCAAAGAAAATTATGGGAGAATAAATTACCAAGAGGGCCTAAATGTTATTATACATTAACAAAGTAGGAACAAGGAATAACACCTGTTAATTCCTTATGAAAGCTGTTTTAAACTATATTTTCATCACAGTTAGCCCAACAACACCGGGAGAACTACAAGGATAAGACAGGCACTATACGCAGAGTAGATCATTTTGTGATGGCTGGAACAGAGGTGGACAAATTCCCTTGTTTACCGAATATGTGAGTATGATAAGGTGGAATAAACTCAAAATGAATTATGACTGTATTATAGATGGAATAAATTCAAAATGAATTATGACTATTATAGATGGAATGAACTCAAAATGAATTATGACGATTATTAAAACAGATCATTTGGTGAAATAGTGTTTAACAGATTCCTTACTGTTTGGCATCGTTTAAGAATTAAGAAAAGCCAGAAATTTAGATCCTATTTCCTTCCCAATTAACCTTTACATGCGCAATGTATATTTCAGTACAATTTACACACTAATCATGTACTGGCAAATAATGACAAAGAATTTCCAAAAGCATTTTGTGGATACTCCTAAATAAATACATTTTCCATGAATAGTAGAAGGACTTCTTTATACATTATGAGTTTAGTCATAGAACACCAGTGTTGAAGCAGGCTATTCGACCCATTGAGTCCACACCAACCCTCTGCAGAGCATCCCACCTAGACCCACCCTCCTACCCTAACCCTATAACCCTGCATTTCCCATGGCTAACCCACCTAGCCTTCACATCCCTGGACACAATGGGTGATTTAGCATGGCCAATCCATCTAACCTGTACATTTTTAAACTGCGGGAAGAAACTGGAGCATCTGGAGGAAACCCATGGAGACGCGGAGAGAATGTGCAAACTAGACAGTGTAGTTGGTATGACTGAAAATCTCATCTCAAGGTATGATCATATAGCAGTCACAAGTGACTGTATATCACTGCAAACTACTGACAGGCTACTGCCAAACCTCATCATATATGTTTATGGTATATGTGACACAGGCTAATGTAAAGGAAATTACTACAACCAATTTTAAACTATTTGTCCACACGGGGCTCCCTGGCTGGGCCAGCCTTTATTGCCCATTCCTAACCTCGATGAGAAGGTGGTGGTGAGCTGCAATCCTGAATCACTGTACTCCGTTTGGTGTAGACACACCCACATTGCTGCTAAGGATGGAGTTGCAGGATTTTGACCCAGCAACAGTGAAGGAACAGCAACATAGTACAAAGTCGGGATTTTGAGAAACTTGGAGGCACACATGCAGATGGTGGTATTCCCATATGTCTGTTCCCCTTGACCTTCTAGATAGTAGTAGTTGTGGTTGTAGAAGGTTCTGACTCAGGATGAATGTTTGCAGGGCACAATGTAAATGGTACAAACTGCTCCTAATGAGCATCAGTAGTGGAGTGAGTGAATGTTTGTGGATATGGTGTCAATCCAGGCTGCATTACCTGAGATGATGTCAAGCTTTTTCAGAAACGTCCCAACCCGAAATGTCAACTTTCCTGCTCATCCCTTGCTGCCTGACCTGCTGTGTTCCTCCAGCTCCACATTGTGTTGTCTCTGACTCCAGCATCTGCAGTTCTTGCTATCCCTTTAGGAACATGAGGTGAGTTGCTTGTTGCAGGATTCCCAGCCTCTGACCTGCTTTATAGTCACAGTATCTATATGGCTGGTGCAGATCAGTTTCTGGTCAGTTGTAATCTCAGGATGTTGTTAGTGGGAAATTCAGTGATGGTAATGTCATTGAATGTTAAGGGGCAATAGTCAGATTCTCTCTTTTTGGAGATAGTCATTGCCTAGTATGCTGTGGCAGGAATATTACTTGCCATTTATCATGCTAAACTTGGATTGTATTTGGCCATGTATCTGAGGAGTTGTGAAAGGTGCTGAACATGAGTGAACATCCCCAAATTTGCTCTGACTGAAGGGTGGTCTTTGATGATCCAGCTGAAGAAAGTTGGGCCTAGGACACTACCCTGAGGAACTCCTGTAGAGGTGTCTGGGAACTGTGATGACTAATGTCCAACAACAGGAAACATCTTCCTATGTGCTAGGTATTTCTCCAATAAGTTTTCCCTCACAAATCCCAGGAGTCTAGCTTTGTTATGGCTCCTTGCTGCCACACTTGGTCAAAAGTGTCCCATTAGATCATCGTGGTGGGATTGAAAACCTAGTCCTCAGATAATTTTCTGTATCCCTGGATCACTAGTCCAATAACAATACCACTACACCACAACCTCCCATCCTACCTGACAAGTCTCCCAAGATGGTCACCATCTTCTGTATGAAGAATTTGTATATATTATGATTATTCACATTTTTTAACAATAAAATTTTGAATATGTCCTTTTCCTTAGAGCTAATTTTACATTCCCCCGTAGGGATTTCTTTTGAGGGGCGTTGGGTGTGGGATTATCTTTTACTCCCAATGGGATTGCTATTAGACACCGCCTTCCCCTGATCATTAAAGTTATCCCTGTGCCACTGCTGGAATGCTGCCATGACAATGGGGCAAGGATACTGCCCCTGCCTCATGACAATATCACCAGGAATCTCCTGGCATTTGGGAGAAGAGTACCTCGTTTGTAATCTGTGCCCAGTGGAGGCCCTGCTCCAAATGGGTGATGCCAGTTCCCTGCTCTGTGTTGATTTTCATTTTGATTTTTGATTTTATTGCCACGTGTACTGAAATACAGTGAAAAGCTTTGTTTACGAGCGGCATAGGCAGATCACAGCCAGCAAAGGATGTACAGATCAGAAAGACTTAGGGGCATACAGGTTACATTATTTGAGGCTACAGTCCGTTCAACAGTCTGATAATGACCGGAAAAAAGCTGTTCCTGAACCTGATGGTTTTTGTGTTCAGACTTCAGTATCTTCTGCCTGATGGAAGAGGTTGCAGGAGATCATTACCGGGTGTGATGGGTCTTTGATGATGTTGGCCGCCTTTCTGCGACAGCGAGTCATGTAAGTAGAGTCCATAGATGGAAGATTGGCTTCTGTGATGGTCTGGACTGTGCACACCACCTTCTGTAGTTTCTTATGGTCCTGGGCAGAGCAGTTGCCATACCAGGCCGTTATGCACCCGGACAGTATGCTTTCAATGGTGCATCTGTAGAAGTTGGTGAGGGACCTTATGGAAATGTCAAATTTCCTGAGCCGCCTGACGAAGAAGATGTGTTGATGTGCCTTCTTGACCGTCGCATTTAGGTGCTCCCTCATCATGGCCTCCTATCCCTCTCACTGTTGACTGGTCCCTACCTTCTGAGTCAAGCCTTCATGCTGCTCCTCTTGGCTGCTGTTGCAGAAGTGCCCACTGGTCCAGGTGGCATTGCTGGGACGAGAGATCTGCCAGCAATTGATTGGCCTGACTCTGAGAACTTTGAAGCATTCTCCCAGATAAGGGTGGAGGCTACATCCTCAGCCACTCAACAGCCAGGCAGCCATCAAATCAAGTCACGGCTTCCGCGCTCCTCAGAGGTATGCTTGTCCATGAATTTCTAGCTAGAGTGCCACTGCCTTCATTAACATCTTTGGCCAATTTTTAAGGCAGCGTTTGTGTGGAATCTAATTTATCTATACTTGTAGTATTCTGTCATATGTTCCTGTTGTGTCATATTTGAAATATACGGGTTTGAATAACATCAAAGCTAAAGTTTCTGTCAGGAATATGACAATATTGCAAGCACTGAATGCATAGCATTACAGATTTTTGTTGTCTGAAACAAGTTGCTTTATGTCCCATTTTATATACACCCTTGTTGAAAGATGCTCATTCTCATGGTATACCTAAGGTTTAGACATTTATGGTATGCTTTTAGCATTAATTTTGTTCAGGAGTCTCTGTGAAAGAATTTGCAGAAGCTTCCAAAATTGTCCAATTCCTTTTAAATTTACTTTGCTATTACAAGGTTTAATAGACATAATATACCAGTCTGATATTGATGGAGGGTCAGCAGATCTCAATTTCATAAACGAAGAAATAATTCAACCAAGTGAAACTGAATGAGAAAGAAAAGAACTTTTGTTTAAAATGGTGCTTTTGTCTAAATCTCCCTGTATTGATGTGCCCTCGGAAGAATAATTACAAGATGATTGTAAAACTGAAAGTAAGAATATTGCTGGTGGTTACAGGCCACAGCCTGGCTTATTCCACTTGATGTATTGTTCTGTGTAAATCACGGCTTAATACATGAGTCCACAGCAAACTTGGTTAAGTCCATTCGACATGTCCCATTTAATGGATGACATTCAGGAGGTTTGACTATGTTAGTATTTTATGAGATTGTTCCAGTGTACAGCTTTTCATTTTATATTTGTTCATCTTTGGGAGTATGGTTAATTGAAAATTGCTAGATGTATGTGATTTCACATTAGTTAGCTGCCAGTGTAAAGTTTGCATCCTAATATTTCAGTTGTGAAGCTGAAATCAAAGACTTAATCCTCGATTCTGTTTGCAGCTGGACAAGATTTTTCAAGCCTCCCACTGAAATATTATTCTCGTTTTTTTTTTAAAGAACTTGGGGAGATTGATTTTCTTTTTCTCTCCCTGGGAATTGAATGCAGCTTTTACCACAATGAATCATCTACAATAATCCACATTCATACAGTATCCTTGCACCAACATCTCAAGGGAGAAAATGGACAGAAACAACAACAACTTATTCTTATAGTGCACCTTTTACATAGGAATGTTAGAGAAAAAAGAACAAAGTACAGTACAGCAACAGGAACAGGCCCTTCTGCCCATCAAGCCTATGCTGGCTCATGATGATTTTCTGAACTAAAAATCTGTTGCCTCTACATGGTCCATATCCTTCTATTCCCTGCCTATTCATGTATGTGTCCAGATGCCTCTTAAACATTTCTACTGTACCACCCCCACCACCCCTTCTGGCAGCACATTTCAGGCACTTAACACCCTCTGTGTAAAATACTTGCCCCTTACATCTCCTTGAAACTTGCCCCCTTTTACCTTAAGACTATGTCTCCTAGAAACTGACATTTCTACCCTGGGAAAAAGACTCTGACTATCCATTCTATCCATGCCTCTCATCATTTTGTAAACTTCTATCATGTTGCCTCTCAGCCTCTGATATTCAAGTGAAAACAAATCAAGTTTGTCCAATCTCCTCATAACTAACACCCTCTAAACCAGGCAACATCCTAGTAAACATTTTATAAACTCTCTCCAAAACCTCCAA